TTGAAATTTTATTTCTTAGTAATTACGTTGTCTTTTTATATTTTAAACACAGGATGATAAGACAAAGAACTACTAAAAAAAGTAACGATTTACTTGTGTGAGAAGAACTTAATATGCTATCAAATCTAAGAAATAAAAATTAAAAAATAAGGAAGATATAACTTTTTAAGAAATCACACAAAAATTGTAATTAACAATTTTATTAACAAATAATTCTCTTTTAATAAGCTGCCCTCAAAACAAGGATAACAACGTTTCAAATAGGTCTTCAACTAAATTTGTCAAGATAGGAATAATCAAAACTCTCATTAAAATAAAATAAAAATATAAAACCTAAAAAATAAGTTAAAAGTTCAAAATTAACTAGGAAAATAATAAACCAATGAAAATAAAATATTCTTAGCCTACTTTGAAGGTTTCTCGATCACAAATGACCAATGAAATTCTATCCTAAAAGGAACATATCTTTTAGAATATTTAAAAAAAAAATTAACTCGATCCAAAAATAAAATTAAAGTTTATGTCTGTTATCATAAGGCTACGTGTTTGACCAACTTCTCTTGCATCAGTCTCCTCATGTTAGAAATAACTCATCCTTGAATTCAAATTGTTTTTTTCTTGATCTTATAAATATTCAATTAAAGCTCTCTATCCCTTTTTAATTTTTTAAACTTTATTTATTAATATATTTTATATTCATATAATGTTTAAACAAATCTACTTATGCGATAATATTAATCTTATAATCAAAAGGGTCAACTTAGCCTTAATCAATATTTTTTTAATTAAACACTTTCATATTCTCGTTGCACTTAACCTCTAACTCTTTACAGGATATGTTCTCATTCTCTAATATATATACCAAACTAAAATTTCTTAAACAAGCATGGAAAGGAAAGAGCATAAAATAATTTCAATGGATTAAAAAGAAACAAACTATCTTTGATGATATAAAGACTTATTTGGCTAGACATCCAGTGTTGGCCTCACTAAAACTTGTTTAGCCTTTAAAGCACATTTTTATTATTTAAGGATAAATTGGTAACATGTTAGCATAGAAAAATAAAGTTGGACATGAGAAGGTTATTTATTATTTGTCATGTTTTTACTGATAGCAGAGTTGTTATAATTTAATATAAAAGCTTTATTTATCCCTATATTTTGCATATATAAATCTTCATTGGTACATATCGTTTGTTGGTAAATTACAAGAAGTTTTTTTTTTTCATAAAATACATGTTATCTAAACTTTTTTATGAACTCATATTAATAAATATATTTTGGCATTGTTTGCGTTCAATTTACATTACATGACTTAAAAAGCAATCACATCAAGTTTTGGTTGATTTTTTTGTTGATCAACTTTTTTGTCATATCAATTATGAATTGGAATGAGATACTGACATTGTGATGAGAGAACTTGTTTCATGACATTTATGATTTGTTGTAATGAAAACTTAGAATAAAACAGGTGTAGCAGTGGTTTCTTTAATAGGTCATATTATGGTCTTATCATTTTGGCTTGATTTTCTCTGTATTAATAATAAAGCTAAATATGAGGTTTCAATCATAGGTCTACAAATACTATTGAAGTTGGGGGCATTATCAATCAAAATAATAGGAGATTTTATGCTTATTATAACCAATTAGTTGTCGCATCTTACACTAACTTTATATCATGTAGTGACTAAAAACCTTATCAAAAGGTTTACTAATTTAATTTCTATTTTTCAATGAGATAAAATAATATAAAAACTAAAGAAAAGGCTCAACATAGATGAAGGTATAAAATGATCTTTGATCATCATGACATCATATTTGTGAGGATTACTAGATATTACTAATATGTAACAAGGGTATAATGAAAAGCAAAGCAATAAAATTCCCGTGGTTGAAAATGCATAAGACATTGATATGAAAATTATTGCTAAATTTTTCTCAAATCTATATGTTTTGGAAGAAAGATTAGGAATTTTATGTTAAGCAAAGAATTTAGTATCATTGACAATTAATAAAAGAACTGCAACATAATTTGTTAAAACCTAAACATCACGCCTATAATAGCTAAAGCATACTTTTTTAAAATGATTTTATTAACAATAATGTTATATAGAGGACAATAAATGATATTTTCAAGTAACATTGCTTATTTTCCACATCATTTATGATCAATTAGCTTGATCGTTTTAACATTTAAATGATAAGATATATTTTTTATTTGTTCTAAAATAAAGGAGTATGAATGGACATTATTTACATAAAATATAAATATTCACGTGTCGACTAAGTAAGAAAAATAGTTGTTTACTACCAAACAAAAAAAGAAGAAGCTAAAGATATAGTAAAATCAATTAGGTATAGGAAGAATTCAAATCAACCAAAGAAGTTAGAAAGCAGTCGATCAATGAAATTAGAAGTTATGATCGTCTAAAAAAGCTAGAGATTGTGATTAATCAAGAAAAAACATCTAACAACAAAGATGATAATTCACATGATTGGCTGAAAAATTAAGTCTTATTCAAAATAAGAATCCTCATCAAATTAAACTAATAAGAAATACAATATAGTTATGGTTCATATGATTGTTAGGAAGGAGACACACCTAGATATGAATTCAAATTGTATTAGAATTCATTACATAAATCTTTACCCATCGTGAACAATTTGTATAGGGTTAAAAATTATAGTTCATATAGGACTTAAACTTTGTAACATTATAAAAATGGAATCCATTTACTAGAAATAATGGTTACTCCAATATACACAATTTTGTTTCTAGAATTTAACTTTATTTTGCAAATTAATTTTCCTTTTTCTTTAAAACTTTTATGTTTTTTCCTAGATTAGTTTATCCATATTTTTCTAATCTATTAAAATCAAGTAGAGAATCCTACACTTTGTTTGAATTATAAAGTTGTTATCTATTTTAATTCAAGATTCATTTTCTAATTATAGTTTCTTCTTAATGAAAGAAAGAAACAAAGAACAAATTGTATAATTGATCAAGAATTATTTGAATGATAAACAATTAATCTCTCCATTCTTTTTCCCCTTACATGTATTTTTTTTAATATGAAAAGAAATTTATATTTATTATTACTATATTACTTTATAAAACAATAAAGTGAAATAGATAATGGTAAACAATTGCAAGATTATTTTAATAGCATCATCCTCACTTTTGTATCAAAGTATGGATTCATCAATTTTAACTAGTTTTCTTTGCTTGTTGTAATTTCCCTAAAAACTTACATATGTTTTACTTGTTCTTAGTCTGAATACCTAACATAATAAAAAAATATTCAAGTGCTATAAGCATGTTTTAAAAAAATAAGAAAAATTCATGATTTAAATCATAAACCTAACTTGTTCAATAACTTGATTTAATTTAATTATATCATAAACAAAAAATAAAAAATACATGGATCAAATTAAAAAGAAAATGACTTGATGACTTGAAAAAAAAAGCTCGCCAAAAGAAAGAAAACTATGAAGCTTAATTTTTATCCAAACTAATTCTAAATGATGAAATTAAAAAAATAAAAACAACAAAAATTACCGATAGAACATGAGTTAGTATATTGAACCTATGTCCTAAATTGTGAGGCCAATAGAACCTCATAAAAATTAAATAAAAAAATCACGACACATTTCCAATAAACCTAATATGAAAGGCTAAAAAAACAAAAAACCTCAATTACACAAACATACTATAAAAACACCATCAAAGCTTGGTAAGTCCATCAAACTCTATAATCTGTATTATGTGAACGAGATAACCTAATAGAAAGAGAAACATGAAAAATTACAAAACTCAATTCTCGACTCAATTTAATATTAAAGAATAAAATAAAAAAATATTAATTTTTAAATAAAAGACTCGAGTTAATCCAAGCAAACCATGACCAAGTTTATGAAATCAAGATAATTGTATAAAAAAACGATGCAGGCGAAAGCATAAAGTTCAATAAATAAGCATATAAAGATATAACAGATGGGTGAAAAACGTTGCTAACTTGGATCTTAAATTCATAGTTTTATTTTTTAAAATATAGCCAAAATAATTTTTTATTTTAAAGAGATTTACAATCCCTTTAAATAGGCTAGAAAACTAACTTGTAATAAATAATAAAATCAAAACTTTAAAACATAAAGAAAAATAACATAAAAACCTAAAAAAATAAGAAATCCATGAAAAACAAGAAAAATTAACCCAAACAAGATAATCAAAGCCTAATTAAAGAAAATTTATCTAAAAAATAAATCAACAAAGTGTGTTTTACTTGAAAATAGATCTCGAGAATTTTTTATAAAATTTTTAACTTAATCTAACCATAGGTCAAAAAGTTATGATGATCAAAATAACATTTGAAAAAAAAAAAATCAAAAAAGAATTCATTTGTTTCATATTATTTAAAATTTTATTTTAGATAGGTGAGTTGAAAATGGTAAAAATAGGGTGCATATCAATTGTTCCACTCCGATAATTAAAGACATTTGTTTTTTTTTTTTATATTCAAACTATTCTTTACTTCACTCATAACATTAGTTACTTTTAAACCAATTTAATACACACACACATTCAAGATAACTTAAAAATAAAAATTAAAAAAATTGCTATTATTTAACCAATAGATTAAATTTTCATAAATATCAAACAATGAGATTTAATATATATTAAATCTCATTGTTTGATATTTATGAAAATTTAATCTATTGGTTAAATAATAGCAATTTTTTTAATTTTTATTTTTAAGTTATCTTGAATGTTTCTAAAGTATTATGATAAATATTTGTTTGATCAAGTAATTAAGTGTTATAAACAACTTGGAACAATAGATATATTAGAAATAAATATTTTAAATTGATAAAAAATATTTTATATATTTTGATAATAATTTTAAAATGAAACGTGGAAATAAGCCGGTGTTGAGAATTTTCATATCTGTTGAAAACTCAAAACGAATATCGAAACAGAACAATATTGATAACTTTATATTAAAGGGTAAAACATAGAAAAATAAAATAAAATAAAATAGAAAGAGAATGAGAGGAGGGGAGAGGAACACTTTATTGCCTTTTTTATGATGCACGCATCAATGGCAGGACACAGAATGATGGTACATTAGCACTGTCGAGACAGAAGGGCTAGAAGAAGTGAAGAAACACAGAGCAATTAACCACAACCACAGCCACACAACAAGTACACAGAGAGGAAAAAAAAGAGGAATTCGTATGGGGTTGAAGAAAGGAGAAAATTAGATAAAAATCATGGAGCTCACCAAGAGAAAGAGAGGATTGGTGTGTGGTCAAGAACTAGCGAAAAAAGATGTTTTGTTGTAATGGGTGAGTTAAAGAAGAGAGATTCATGGCATGCAATGAGATATGATATTGGGTTAAAGAAATCTGAGTTTAAGAACAAGAAATTTCCTCTCTTCTTTCAAATCTGAGTGTTAGCCCTCTTGAGAGCCAACGCCATTGATAATCCTTTACTTCACCACAACAAATCTTGGGCCTTTTCTTGATCTCTCTTCAAATTCTTTTGGCTTCTTAGGTATTTTATTAAAGGGATGCCCTTTCCTTTGCAGGCCAAGGGGGGTGTAGATATTGCTGGTTTTGCTTCAATTTGTTCTCAACAAGAAACTTGGACGCACAGGCAGCAGCAGCAGCAACAACAACAACAACGACAACAACCTCTTCAAGTTAATAGCTTTGCAAGCAAAGAACCTTCCTCAGTTCTTCATATGAGAAGAAGTCAAAGCCCACCCACATCTGTTTCGACTCTCTCTTCCTCCTCAAACGGCGGCGCCGGTGGAAACATCACCAACATCACGGCAACAGATAAGGCAGTGAACCCAGTGAGCAATGAAAGGAAAGATGAATGGGCTACAGAGTTGCAGCCAATCCCAAGTGGACTAGAGTTTGTTTCATCAGGAGCAAGATGTGGACTTGGACTAGAAGATTGGGAGAATATGCTGTCAGAGCCGAGCCAAGAACAATCCTTTATGAGGTGGATAGCTGGGGATGTGGATGACACACAGTTTGGGCTAAAGCAGCTGTTGCAAAGTGGAAACAATCAGCTGGAATTTGATGACAATGCTGATGCTGGTGCCGGTGGTGGTGGATTGGGGATTGTTGATCAAGGGCATGGATTTGAGTCCTTAAGTGGAATTCCATGTGGGGTGTCAAGCATTGGTACTAATTTGGCTCCTTTTCCTGGCCCTGGGGTTTCAAATGTTGGGTCTGGTTTAGTTGCTTCCGGTTACTTTTCTGGGTTGGTCAATTGCAAAAATGTTGGATTCGGAAACAACTCTAGCGTGCAAAGCCCAGTTTTTAGTTCTCCATCTAACAGTGTATCACTTCCACTATCTTTGCCTCCTGGTATGGTTTCTCATCATAATCAGCAGCAACAAATCGAGGCCTCGGAGGAGAAGCCGCATATACTAGATCCACAGGTGTTGATGAACCAGCAACATTCTCATAATCCGCAAGCTCAAAATCCCAACCTTTTCTTGCCGCTACCATTTTCCCACCAAGAAAATCGGCCCCTCCATTCCCAACTCAAGCGCCACAATTCTGGTGGTATAGACCCAATCTCTCATGTAATCCCTAAACCACCATTCTCTGTTCCTGGGCAAGAGTTTTTGCTAAGAAAACACCAACAACAGCAACTGGGGTTTCCACAGGGAGTTCAATTTCTTCACCAGCAACTTCAACAGAAGCCATTGATGGTGAAGAAGGAAGATTTAGGAGTCCAGCAACAGCAACAGCATGCTTTGTTGGACCAGCTCTGCAAGGCAGCAGAGTTGGTAGGGACTGGGAACTTCTCACACGCGCAAGGGATATTGGCGCGGCTCAATCAACAGCTCTTCCCAACTGGGAAGCCTCTCCATAGAGCAGCTTTCTACTTCAAGGAGGCTCTTCAATTGCTCCTTCTCATGAATAGTAACTCAGTCACTGCCCCACCGCCTAGGAGCCCCACCCCATTCGATGTCATCTTCAAAATGAGTGCTTACAAAGTCTTATCTGAGGTTTCTCCACTTATCCAATTTGTCAACTTCACTTGCAATCAGGCTCTTCTTGAAGCAGTTGATGATGCAGATAGTATTCACATAGTGGACTTTGATATTGGATTTGGCGCTCAATGGGCCTCTTTCATGCAGGAACTTCCGCGAAATAGAGGTGTCCGGTCGTTGAAAACCACTGCTTTTGCCTCTCCTTCGACTCACCATCCTGTTGAACTTGGTCTTATGCGTGATAACTTAACTCAGTTTGCTAATGAGATTGGTCTGAGTTTTGAACTTGATGTGATTAACTTTGATTCCTTGGAGCAAAACTGTTATTCTCTTCCCTTTTTCCGAACAAATGAAAATGAGGCTGTTGTGGTGAATTTCCCTATCTGGTGCTCTTCAAATCAACCATCTGCATTACCGTCACTGCTGCGCTTTATAAAGCAACTTTCACCAAAGATCGTGGTGTCTTTGGACCGAGGGTGTGACAGAAGTGATCTTCCGTTTTCACAACATATTCTCCATGCCCTCCAATCTTATGTACACCTATTGGAATCATTGGATGCTGTTAATGCAACTACGGATGATGTGAACAAGATTGAGAGGTTTTTGCTCCAGCCTAGGATTGAAAGTACTGTGCTGGGGCGTCTTCGTGCTACAGACAAAATGCCAAATTGGAAGACAATCTTTGCATCTGTTGGCTTTTCTCCTGTAACTTTCAGTAACTTCACCGAAGCTCAGGCAGAATGTGTGGTGAAGAGGACTCCAGTGAGGGGATTTCACGTGGAAAAGCAGCAGGCTTTGCTTGTGCTTTTTTGGCAGCGTAGAGAGCTTATGTCAGCTTCAGCATGGAGATGCTGAGCAGTAACACTACAAGCAAGGAGGTTGGTTTTTTTTTCAGCTCACAGTTTGTTAGAGGTTCCAACTCGATTTACTAAATGTGGTTTTGTGTCAATAAATTTTGTACTATTGTTGGTCCCTCTGTTAATGACTTAATATGAATTGTCTAGCTTGTGAGTCTCCTCTGCTTGTGTTTATCTCGTCCCAGCAGAGCAAAGCATCTAATTAGACAATCTAGGGTATGATTTGTTTCGGAAATGGATACCTGCTGCGTAGTAATTTGATGTTATTATGGCAAAATGGTTCTGTTGTGTCTGTTAAGATGGTTGTCTTTTGTTCTGTACTTGACAACAGATGAGAATTCGAAATGGAAAGTGAACTTACCAGAATTCTAACGTTTTTAAGTGAACAATATGGCATTATGTTTCCTAACGTGTACCGATTTGGTACTATTTTGTTTTCCCCGTTGTCACTACTGTTACTGATATTGCATTTAAGGAAGTAATAGAGATGATGTAGAGGTTTCATTAGAGCATGATAAGAGAGATAAGGTGATAAACCAAGCCAGAAACCAAGGAAATGCACATCCAGTGCTGTTATCATTGGAGTCTCAAGATATCCACTTTTTTTTCTTGGGTTGCTTCACCATTAATAAGTAAATTGAGCATTTACGGGCAGAGAAATATACTATAATTTAAAGTTCTTGTGATCATTGTTATCAATTAAGGTGCGCTTGTGTGCTGTCGATTGCTCAGTCGTTCTTACTAAAGGTGGATGGCATAAGAGTTTATTTTCGCTGGAGGGGTGAGTGAAATGTTGTAAGCTCAAATTGCTGTAATATTGTCTAATTAGGCTACAGTAAATTCACTCTCGGGAGCTTTCATCGTCTTACTGTTTAGAAGCACTCTCTAATTTCTGCGCGCCTCAACCCTTGCAGATTTCCCACGTATGGAGGTTGAGCCCATTGCCTTCTTGTTGCAATGCCCTGAATTTTAGTCTGTTCTGTCAAATGTGATGGTGTAGCGAAGGTCTGAAGCAGCGAAGGACCTTGCACAGTAGGATCTACACCACTTATCTATCCTTTCAGTTAATCAATATATATACTCTGGTGTTGTTTAGTTCATGATGCAACTTAATGAAATACACTTTATGGCTGCCTTGGATGCTTTTGAAATCATGATCGATATCTCATAGCTAGCTGCAAATTGCAACTTTAGAAACCTGAAACTAGTTTCTGCACCTCCATACATAACTTCTGGCCTCCCTAGATTCCTTGAATTGCAAAGAAGATCGTGGTTAAAAACCATGTTTGCTTGTTTCTGGGTTTTCTACTCAGGTGTGTTCTGTGTTTATTGGTAGTTTTAGATGTTAGAATCTCATGTGATTGCAATCTCTTGACTCTGCTTTTTGAATGTTTTCTAAGGTAGCAGCATGATCCAAAAACCACAACGTTTATGCCTTATCTCAATCACAAGTTATAGGAAATGCATCCTTTCCTAGATAAGTTACTCTTTATAATTGTTGAATCCCTTGATTGGCTGCATTGCTGTCTGAGTAGTATATGATGGCCGAGGATAGATTTGGAAATCCCTGCTGGAAGGACATCTTTATTGTAATTTCTGCTCTCCCTGTCACTGGAACTAGCTAGGGTTCCCTCTTTGCCTTAATGCTTTAGAGAAGTAAAGCTAGAAAAGCATGCTATTCGATTAGTTGACTTCTGTGTTTTCAATGATGATAAATAAATTAACAGAGGCGATTGTATGCGATAACCTTGAGCGGCAAAAAAAAAAAAAAAAAAAAAAAAACCCCCAAAA